CATTTCTTTATTAGGAAGTAATGAAAACAATGAGGCTGTTTTGATGAACCCCCAAATTTTATTTTTTTTCAGATTAATGTTTTTATTACTTTAATTTTTTCTAGTTCAGTTTCCTTTTTACACATGAAAGGATCGAAGTGCCCAAGGTTTTCTTTTTCTAGATTGGCTTGAAAGATCTTGGAAGTAAAATGTAATTAACAAAATATATTTTTCTTCTTCTTATGCTAATTCTTCTTCACAGATGTATGGATGGGAACCCCCAAATTTTAAATTGTAGGATCTTACAAAGTTGCAGCATTAAATTTGTTGTTTTGTGATATGTTGTTTTGATTGTACAATATCAAGAAAATCCTGATTGAACACAGGCAGTAACAAACGTTTTTTCAACAACTCACTTTGCTCTATCCAAATATTCTTTACCAGAATTACCCAAAACCAGAAAGAAGACTAACATAGCTTTTGTTTCAAAGTGAATCACTAACAAAACACAAACAACTGGTTGCATTCCTTGTCATAGACAAGTCATGTGAGCAACACTCCAGTCTTTTAAGTTCCAAAACTAGGACATTTATGACACAATGAGTGTGTTTTTTAGTCACGCTGAGGTGAGGGTGCGGCCAGAGCCGGCGCCTGGCCTCTCACACAACCACACTGTGACCCCAGTCAGGGTCCTGAGGACGGGAGTCCTGCCTGCAGTGGCCGGGGATGCGGTCCTGCCAGGTCAGCATCACCGGCAGCCAGGCCAGCCAGTGGCTCCAGTGCAGTCACATTTGATGACACACTTGAATTTGCAGGTGGCATTTTTACTGGTTTGTTTTAAGAAAAATGTTATAAAAAGACATTCACATGAAAGGCTTGTAGTTCTAGAACATAGATTGAAAAGCACTGATTTATAAGGTTGCCCATATTATAGACGGATCCCGAATTGTTAAACAAACTGGTATTCCAAGATGAAAGTTGGCCAGAAAGTGAAATAAACTCACGTGAGGTTAACAGTTTAAAATTCGGAGCTCATCTCAAGTTAGATCATAAAGTAATACAAGAATACTAGTTTGTTTTTTTTTTTTAATTATTCTTCACTTTTTTTTATCCCTTTCAGGTTCGATTTGCTGCTCTGATTACGGTGCTGGCACTGGCTGAAAAACTAAGAGAGAATTATATCGTCTTGTTACCAGAATCCATTCCTTTCTTAGCTGAACTGATGGAAGGTAATTCCCAAACTATTAAGAAATAGAGTGAACTTCTGTGGGAATGTGCCCAATGAGAATGCACATTTGGATAGCCTGTGATGAGCTCGTGTCTCCAGCCCTCTGTGCAGAGGCTGAGCTCCTGGTTTGAGTGGGGTGCACGGGCTGCCTCATTGTCATTTGAGATTTGTTTATAGCATAATCTCACTATCTTTACTTTTGTGTTTTTTTGCTGACATTGCAGACTATGATATTGTTTTTCTTTAACCTCATGCATGTCTATGATTGAATATTTTGGTCCACAGATATAGGGTTATTATACCAAAACATCCAGTGCCACTACGGCTGCAATGGGGTGGCTGCCTGTTAATGAGCAGCACTTACTCTGTGCTCTACGTGGATGATGTCGTTAATCCTCACAAGGCATATGCCGTTATCCCCCTTTCATAAAGGAAAAAACTAGAGGCTTTAAGAGATTAAGTAATCTAGCTGATAAAAATGTGTGACAGGTGGAACTGGGGTTTAAGTCCAGGTTTGCGCAGTTCTGGACCGAGGGCAGAACGCGCACTGTGCCACCACGCAGCCCAAGAAATAACAGTGCAGCTTATTAGCGGGGTGATGGAGGCGAGTAGACAGATGCCTTCATATTAGCGATTCACTGCTGATCCAAACCCAGGTGCCTGCACCTTTGTTTCCTCCCTCCTGGAGAGGGGCTGCGTGAACTACTAAGAGTGGCATCGCTTGGCATCGCTAGGCATCTGGAATTTTTGTTTGTGCACCACTCTTTTGGGTCTGTCTTACTCTGCTTCCCCAGGAAGGAGGAGGGCAGAGGAGGGGTTTCCAGGATGGCTTCCGCCTCAGGACTGTGCTTCATTTCTCTTCTGACTGACGACCAGCGAATGCGAGATGTGAGGAACCAGGCTCTGAGAACTAAGGCAGGAAGACTGACTCATTTTGATTTTGTTTTTAGATGAATGTGAAGAGGTGGAGCATCAGTGCCAGAAGACTGTTCAGCGGCTGGAAACGATCCTGGGAGAGCCGCTCCAGAGCTACTTCTAAAACCTTGGTCTCTGGTATTTCATACTGTTCAGAGGTCAGACTTACTCATATTTTTATTTTGGGTGTTTAGGACCATATTACTTTTGGTGCCGCTAACACCTACTTGGACTTCTTTACAGGATTCCCACCTGGTTTGTGCTACCACATAAGCCTCTCCTGCCAGTTGTACAGAATATACAAAAGAGTAAATGATACATGGTATTTTTATACAGACTGCTGTTTGTTTAATTAAGACCATCGATGATGGTCTTTTCTGAGTGATGTTATTACCATTACATACATGATTAATTTTAGCACCCAAAGCTAACCCCCATTTAGACTGTAAAGCCTTAACTTTCCTGGTAAAGGACTATCTTTTGTACGTGGTATCTGTGTCAGAGATTTCACTCAAAGCAGCTTTTTACTTCAAGAAAATGAGAGTTATTCAGCACCCAACAAGAATGCTTTCAACTGTAAAGCCATTTGGACTTTTACTTTTCATTTTGGGTAGATGACACTTCAGTCTGTCTTAATTTTTGCGTGTGCTCATGGAGGGGAGTAGTTGTGGGACGCCATTTTCTGCTCTAGAATATGATCGTCTCTCCTTTATCCTTCAGTCTTTGGGGGGCAGGGGGTGGAGGCAGTAGGCTGTTTATAAAACAGCCACACCTCATTGCTCCCACAAATAATGAGGGCTCAGAAACACCAGGTGGTAAGAGGGAGCCCCTTCAGGGTTAGAAATGCTCACATTTCTATTGGTGGTTAACCAAGGATTACTTTTATGAGGAAAAAAGTAAACAACAGATTTCTTTTCAAAGCTTTGAAGTTCTCTAATCTCTGTACTATGTCATGGTGAAGCTGCAAAGTGAGGGCGCAAATAAAAGTAAACAAATCTGCCTTTATTTTGTTTAAGGCATTTTATTTATTTATGCCTTTTTAAAATTTAAGGCCTCTAAGCACTGTTCCATAGGTGTTCAAATCAAGTCTGAAAGCCCTTGATCTAATTTAATACAGAAACTTAGTGGGGAATTGTGACAAGCAAAGGCTGATTTGCAGTCTGGAGACGGAGCTTGCTAGGAACACATATTTCTCTTTATGAAACATCTCAACAGGATTCATTAATAAATGCTAATGGCTTCTTTTCAAAAAAAAGTCTTAAGATTTTGTATTTATTCTATCAAAGAAATGGTCAGACTTCTTAGTATCATCCACATAAAATGAAAATGAACTATGTTTAAGACTTACAGGAAACAAGGCAAGTGGGCTTTTCTTTTTTCCTAAGTGGTCCACCGTTTCCACCATCTGCCAGGCCCTCTGATGTTCTTTTCCGGAGGAAAAAAAAACCTTGGGGGATACTAGACCCTTCTTGCCTTCTACAGCTTTCCCAACATCCTCTCCTCCACCAGTGTTTTTTTGTTTGTTTTAGCTTGGCAAGACTGAGCATAATAAATTAATATGAAAAGGTGGAAAAGAATTAAGTGCTACACTGAGTACTTTTTAAAAGTAAGACTGGTAATAACAGTATTTTTTCCACTATAGGGATACAAATAATACCTAACCAAAAGCTGTTATGAAAATATTCCCAAATCCTGGCAGAATTCAGCCCAGCGATTTAATATAAAATGATCTGACTGATCTAGCTTTTTACCTCCCCACTCCCAAGGCTTTGAAATTCCCTGTGACAAGATCTGACCTGTAAGAATTCTACAAAGAACTTCTGCCAACTCTCTTCAAAGAGTAACAGAAAAAATTACAGAAGTGCAACAACAGTTTAACTTGCTGATACAGGTTTGATTTTAATCACTGAAGGGAGAACAGCGTTTTGATCTCAGCCACTAACGATGACGGGGTCGTCTTAGAAGAGGAGAGGCAGTGCCGGTCTGCGTGCAGACAAGCAACAGGCACACACGGCCTCTCTCTACTCCACTGGTCTCTGCCGGTGTATTACTCTCTGATAGGGCCTGTTCCATAATCAGTCATTAAGGCTAATCGTGACACTGCTTTGTCACCCACAAACATTTTACAAACTGAATCCATCTCTCGTCTACCTTAAACTTTCAGAGGAGAGACCTCTGACTCACCCTAAATTCCAATATTCTAAAATAAGCATTTACTGGTACAGAAGGTCAGTGGCCTGGAGATTGACATCAAGTTAATTTCAGCACCATTTGGTTTTGTTCGTTTTGCTTTGTTTTTTGCCTCTATCTTGTTGCTGTGTTCAGATCTCATAATGGTAATTATTTGGTAATGCTTACAGCTAGAAGATATAGATATTATGCTAAAGAAAACTGCCAGATTTAGGTCAACATCAATCCTCTCAATTACAGGATACGATCAAACACTGGGTATGAAGGGCAGCACTGCAGGAAGAGTGGTGTCGCCTATAGTGTCCTCAGGTGATCTAACAGAATAATTCTTTTAAGTGCCTGGTGAGTTTATGTAGTACGTGGAGGAGAAACAATGGCACAGTCGCAAAGCACGGAAGGTTCTGAGCTGAACAGAACAGGGAACGTACGTGCCTCACTGTGTCCTCCCAGCTCCCAGCACAGTGCTGGCAAAAGACAAGCGCTCCATGCAGGGTGGCTACTGTGTTACAGCAGGCTCTTAATAAACACTTGTTGAATGTGAAGTAGGTTTAAAAAAGAGGCGGCCAGGGTACAGGAGAGAGAGCAGAAAGGCCTGTTATAATAATGGCTATAAGCTGCTGTTGCCTCAAATGTCCTCATTTTTTGCTTGACAAAGTCTCACTGCGTGACATGGACTGAGGACACCCAGTAGGATTTACAGCTCATTTTAACAATATATATAAACCATATCATGAGAGTAAGATGCATTTTAACAAGGCCAGTGTTACAGAAGTCATCTGTATTTCAGTTTTTGTAGCACACCTGTCAGCTACCAGCTCCTTACTTCCAGTAAGTGGATATCGCCATCGATTTCCAGCGTGTCGATATGACTCAGGTCTTTAAATCTGTGTCTGTACTCCAGGCTGTGTACACCGTTTACTGCAACCTTGAATTCTCTAACATCACAATAAATTATCATCTGGAAGGAAAGTATACACAACATTAGTGGTGCCCCTGGGCTTAAGAGTTTGTTTCCCGCACACAAACAGGCGTGTCAAGTAAACCATTTGGTTTCCTCTCCCAGCCTGCCAGCGCCGACTCCCTGCTGCAGTTTCCAGGATCTGCCTAACGTGTATCTGTAGTGGCACTTTCTACCTTGTCCCACTCCAGGAAGTGGCTCTCACATGCCTGGACCCTCACACTGTCCCCAGGGCCTGCTGGCTTCCTGTCCTCAGCACGCGCCCTCTCCTGCCCTGTGCTCCTGGGGAAGTGGCAAGCCGCCCTCCTTGCCGACACTTGGGAAGGAGAAAGTGGCTGACCGTGACACTCGCTCACAGAAGAGCTGGTTCCCAGTCACAGGCTGGTACCAAGGGGCTCGGATCCTCACTTCGCTGCCTCAAACTCTAGGGTCTTGGGCAACTCAGACAATATGAAATCTCAGAAGTTTAGGTCACTTGCTAGGGATTGCAGAGCTGCTTGGTGACCCTGATTCCCATCCCAGCTCAGCACCTCTTGTCTGTTTCTCCAAAGCTCTTCAAAGCTCAGTGTTCTATGAACCTCTGAGTTTTGGAAGAGATTCCAGTTCAGAGTCCTCACTGGTGTTAGCCCTTCAGAGTTAACTGCGATCCTTTTAAATCGCTCGTACACCTAAACCTCTTACTTCTGCTACCATGTTCCCTGTGCCAGTCTGGCCGCTGACTACCATTTTTTTCTCACCCACAGTGCACAGGCCAGTTGGGTGAACCCACACTGTGCTCTCCCCGGCACTCCCCGCCTCCATCCCCGGAGGCCAGACTGAGGCACGAAATCTGGATCTGCAAAGCAGCCAACTGAGTGTCTTTTTTCTTTTGCTAGGACTAGCTGCTGGGGGAGATTAGGAAGAGGGGGAAATACCATGGATAACAGCAATAACTGACACAGATGAAGGTGGCAGGGCTATACAGAGAACTGGGGAAAATAGCCATAACTGGGGATTATATGCCCACAACAGTGGTGGAAATCCCAGTTTCAACCAGGTGGAAGGGACCTTTGGTGATGGACATTTAACAAAATCTCAAGAGAACACAAAACACACAGCCTCATGCTCAGAAGGGAAAACAAACTGGCATTAGACGGATGCAGTGGGAAAAGAGTTCTCTAGACTAAGTCAGAGCAAGTGCAGAGCCAGCACCTTATGCTACAAATGGAAGAGAAATGGCAGACAGCCTAGTGGACACACTGTTGCAAAACAAAGTACATACATGCAAACATGGAACACCAAGATCCCTCAACCACCTGAACAGCTCCTAAGAACATGAATTTGATAAAGAGCTCACAGATGACATTACAAAACCGAAAGACAGTTTTTAAATGATTCCAGCTGGAACTAACAAGTGAATCTGAAATGCCACGGAACAGAAGATACTGTTTAAAAGCAAAGCAATGGCTTTAATGGAAAGATCTGAGAATCTCAATGAAAGCCTACTAAAAAGGCAGGAGTTTAAAGCTATAGGAAAAAAGCTATCACTACAAAAAAACTGACAACAGTGATCCAACATGAGGACAACTACTCTTCCTGAAGTAGAAAACTAACAAAAGGAAAAGATTATTTAAGAGAATGTGTTATTTTCCTCTTTTATTTTGATACAGTAGTTGCAAACTTGGGGCTCAAATAGGCCAGAAAACAGGTCACGAGTTTCCAGTCACCAACCACAAGGATCAGCTTCCTGCCGGAGCAGCCACCTCCCCCTCCAGTGAACCCACGTCACCCTTCACACCCTGACTGCCGCCTGGGTGTCGCGCCCCTGTGCCGCCCTTCCGACCTCCAGCGACTGGTCCGTATCATCCCCGAAATCTGTAAAATCCAGATTACCTTCACACCCCCACCTCCTTCTGAATTCCAAATGAGTACCCACCACTTCCAGGGAACCTATGATGAGCTCGCTCCTGTCTGTCACTCCCCAAACCAGGGCACTGCATTAGACAGGAACTTACGAATAAATATTAATGCCAAATCACCACCTTCTGTTCAGCCTGATGTTCACACTTCTAACAACTCTGAGGAGTCTTGCGAGCTCCAACGGTCCAGAGCATGTGACAGTTTAAAATGCTGGAGAAGCCATGACCGAAATCAGTGACCCTAAATGACCACATGAGCAGTGAGTCACGTAAGCTGGTGAGGGCACCCAGCCAACCATGCAGCATCGACGTGGCGAGACTACCCGGAAGCACATCTGGGGAGAGGCTGTGTGAGAATATTCGCATCTTTGGGGGCTCAGGACTACATGCCTTCAAGTCCTGGTAGTCTAAATGTGTCTTTCTTTGAATATATACAAACAGGACCGCCTGGAACAGAGTACTGCCACCTAAGCTGTGTGTCACCGAGACGACGGATAGTGCCGGCAGTCTCGTGGCTCCTACGTCCTCATGTTCACTTAGGATTAAACGCGCTACTCCCGCCCTGAGACAAGGTTCCTGTTCAAATTCCTATTAACTAATACGGGGCTACACAGAAGCTGTCATCATGAAAACAAATGTCAGATAATTCCAATGCAAATAACGTGGCACTCGACTGGCTTGGCCATTTATGCTGATTATTTGCGTTATAAAAGACGGCATTCAAAATACAATCTCCAAATAAACAAAAACCACACACAACCTCCACATATTAAGCTGGACTCAATTTAAATGGACCATTTATCTTGCATCTTACCCCTGCCCGCAGGATTCTTTTTCCTGTCTCATTTTCAAAAAAGATAATCATCTCACCTCAAAGTACATCCCAGGACTAAAAGGGAAACAGGTAATATTTCTCTCTTCTTCTCCCCAGGACTCCTGAAGAAAAGAATTTCTTACAAATGCTTTAACATTCAGGCGTGGGTTCAGGTGGAGAGCAATATCCCTGGATTTTCCTGATAGTAGATCAACAGCAAAGCTTTTGAGAGAATTTTTAAAAACTAATTAGCCAAGTAGAAGAGAGGAGTCGAGTTTCTGCAATTTTAACAATCAGAATTAAACTCTGATTACACAAAACATGTACACACAAGGACCCAGGAATGCCGATGAAGGTGAAATTTAGAATTCCGAGTCAGCACACTGTTGGTATGTTATTTGCAAAATAAAAATATGAAAAGCTTTAAAATCCACGTTTAAGGCTACAGGAAGAAATTAAACGGTTAGAGCAAGTGACCCAAAGGATCACGTGTGCTGCAAGAACAGGGTCCTTCCAAGCAGGAAGTCTCAGCATTTACAATGCCCTGTTCTTCAAAGTGTACTACTTGCTAGGAAATAGCTCTCATTTCAAGCTTTCAGAACTCTGAACACCTCTGGAAAAGGTTCTAAAAGCAGGAATCTTATAAGACCCATGGCAAGGGGAACAAGCCCTAATAAAAGTGATCTGCTCTCACAGAGCTGCCCTGTAGTTCTACAAGGGTGGGCCTCGTGGACAAAAATGCCACCCTCCTGTCTGGCCACAAAAAGCCTAGGTGCCGCCAACTACTAGTTGTCAGCAGTCTAACTTCATCTGGCTTTAACAGTCTCACTTTTCAAAGGAAGCTTATGACATTAGCCCGACTTACACCTCACGAGATTGTTGACAGGGTTGCAGCTGCGTTATTACGGCCACTTACTGATACTGACCCTTTGGCGTTTGTATTTACTTCTCCTTTTATGACGACAGTCCGTCCAGGGCCCATTGAGGAGTTCAACCTCGCTATGAATGGCAGAGTCTGCAAAGAAATCCCAGTTAGCATCAGGAAGCCTGCAAAAACGGATCTTGAGGGAAAACTGCCAAAAGACACTGGGAAATGTTTAAAGGCCATGAACCCCATAAAGGGACAGACCAAGTCTGCCTTGGTCCCAGGCGGGTCCCTGGCTCACAGCAAACACTCCATTTTTCAGACAATGAAATGAATGGATGTGGGGAGGGACCTGACATCCTCTGCCTGAGTGAAATGCCCTCTGCGAAAGTCACCTCGGCTGGCCTGAAGCGTGCACTGCCTTCAGCCCGGAGGCGAAGCGGCTGAGGCAGGGGGAGCTACACAAACACACTAACGGCTCAGGGACCTGATGTCCGGTTGACTGATAGCCGTCCAGGACACCAGTGCAAACACAGAGTGGCTGCTTTGGGCTTGTACTGAGGGTAGCAGTTAACGCATATCAGCTAACTAACATTAAGTACTTGTTAGAATTAAGAAAATTTTGGCTCTTCAAACCTTTGACAAACAGTCGGTAGGTAGTATTTTGGAGCAAGTCAAAGTGTGATTGGCTGGCAAACCTTTGCTCTTGGTGTAGACAGTTCTGGGGACGATTTTAGAAATGTCTCCTCTATTACTAGGCTGTAGGGAAACAGTTCTGCAATAAGGTATGGAATGAATGAACCTATCTTCCAAGGCTTCAACTATTCATTTCCTGGGCAATCTTATAAAAGGTTCCACATGTTATAGCAAAAATACTTACAAACTGTGACATGCCAGACTTTTGTACCTGTTGGAAGAGAAAGACAAAATACAGATGATTGACGGGGAAGAAATACATTTTATAACATGAGCAGTTGGATCTTACTGGCTGTACCACCCAGAGCCTGGGCCGGTAGTGCCTGCTCCACTCCGGGGGAGGGGGACATGCAGGTGGCCAGTGCTTCCTGACCGAGTGCTTTGGAGCTGCAGAGTGCCATTCAGACTGGGAACAGACTGACTGTCCTGTTCATCTGAATCCTATAGCCTCCGCCACAAGCTGAGCCTTTCCCAAAGGCCACGTGTGGGCTTCAAACACATTTTCCTTGCTCTTCCCAGGGTGCTCCCCAAATGCTGAGATTCTAGTCTGTCTGGGAACGTGCTGAGATCAGTAAGGCCTCACTTTCTCCACACTAATAACAGCAAAAAATGTCTGAACTGCAGTTGTTTCCACAGGGGGAGAAGATACACGTGGAAGTTCATTTGCCCAGGCACTGGCTGTGCTCACTATTTATAAACACCTCCAGACAGCGCTGTTCAGCAGTTCAGAGAGTTCTCTGTACAGAAGATTGGTGGGTAGTGGTCAGATCCACTGAGAGTCTAAACAGCAAAACTTATAGCATCTGGCACCCTGAAGTATATGCCTCAATTTTCGAATGGTTACTTCCAGCCTATTAATTACTAAAAATAGAAGTTTTCATATTAAAAACATAGTGTTTTTAAAACTCAGCCTGCCTGCCACCTAATTTACATGGCAACTAAACAAACATTTTTAAACTGGTGGTTGATTAAGAGATTTAATATTTACATTTTCTTCACTTATCTTTGTCCATTCCAGAGTAGATGCTTGGCTACTTCTTAAATCCTGAAGAAAAGTTCAGATTAATATTTAACATCCATCAGAATTCTAAATATAACCTGCTTATCAAAAAAATTATAAATGGTATTAAACATGAAAATATGACAGAAAATTATCCAAAAATGCATGAAAATTAGCAACCTTCTCCCCTCTATCAAGCTGGCAAATGTTAAAATCAGAACTAATGTCAAGAAGAATGTGAGCAGGGGCTTCCCTGGTGGCGCAGTGGTTGAGAGTCCGCCTGCCGATGCAGGGGACACGGGTTCGTGCCCCGGTCCGGGAAGATCCCACATGCCGCGGAGCGGCTAGGCCCGTGAGCCATGGCCGCTGAGCCTGCGTGTCCAGAGCCTGTGCTCCGCAGCAGGAGAGGCCACAGCAGTGAGAGGCCCGCGTACCGGAAAAAAAAAAAAAAAGAATGTGAGCAAATGAATACAGATCTTGAGACTACTTTGTTTTACTCTCTTTGGAGGGCACGTTAGCAATTTCAATCCTAACTTAAAATGCAGGTACCCTTTGACGTCCCGCTTCTAGGAAACAATCCTAGCGAACTGCTCCACTATGCTCCTGCATCAAGGAAACGCCCCCTCTCCAGCTGTAAAGGCTGTTTGTTTTGTTGTTACTGTTTGGGTTTTTGTTGGAACCATGCTAGATTTGAGATCCTACAGACAAGCAAGCCCTGGTCAATGATTAGCATCCTACTAGTCTGAAAGATTTACTTCCAAGAAATTAACACACTAACGAGGGACATATTTACACAGTTTTCAAGAAAACATCACCAAAGACCCCCTGCCGCCCCCCATGGAAGGGGACTGACCGAGCTGAAGCTGAAACCCACGGAGTGAATGATAACTTTGCCATAAATGCCCAGGGTGTCGATCTTCTCTAGGCTGATCCTGTGGGCGTAGATCAGGGTATGTTTTCCATTGACAGCCACCTGGACAAACAGAAGACAGCCCCCCACCCCCACGAATAAAACAGTTAATAAATGCATTTTAGCAGGTACCAGTGCACAGGGCACCTCCCTCTCCCGCCAGATGTCAGTACTTGTCGGGAAGACACGCCGAACACAGTATAGTCTCTGATCTCAAGGAGCTGAAAATCCCATTGGCAAGCAAAAGAAACACAGGAAAAAACCAAAGCTCAAGAGCACGGACAAGCATTAAAAAGAACGATCCACACCCAAGTACTCCAATGGCGAGAGGAGGTTTAGGGGAGAAGTGCTGGTGGGAGCAGGCTCTGAGGGTCAGAGGGGTCTGCACCTCGGGTGGGGAGTCTCCACCTGAGCCGTCAAGTCCTCCACAGGCTCGTGGGCCAGGAGGTGGAGGTGCCTCCAGGACCACACACACCCGAGCAAGCAGCGGGACCACTGACGACACGCAGCGGGGTTGCTATGAGCTCCTCTGGGTCTAGAATCTCAAGATCCTATGGGACTAGGCTGCGGCAGGATGCAACTTTACAAACCCCGACTCCTACGCCCGGATCTCATCTGTCAGTTCAGACTCTCCCACCCTGCGGGTCCTGCTGCATGGGGTTTACTTTCCCATCCTGAGTGTAAGGCTGTGCCAAGTCAGAAGGAAGCTCAGCCCCGCGAGGAGCAACGATCTAACAAAAGCCCGCTGCGCTGGCCTCGCCCTCTGCCGGCACGGCGACCCCGGCAGGGATGCTGGCTGTGCCTGCCTCACAGCAAGGTCCCCACCGGGCCCTCCTCTAGAGGAACATGATAAAGGCAAACTCTTCCTCTGGATTTAGGACACGCAAGGGTGAGTTCACTCATGTGAAAAGCTTCCCTCGTGCTTATCCTCACGAATGAGGATCTAACCCGTTCTCCAAAACCTGCCTGGAATTTGTCTTTCAGCACCATGATCACGATCTCAAAAGATTTTTCTTTATTGAAAGGCATGTCATAGGTGATCTCTTCCCAGCCCCACTTCTCATTTTTCAGAGTGTTGCAAACAATGCAGTTGGCCCTTCTGAACCGTGGATTGAAATGAAAGGCCACGTCTGCTCGAGGTTTCACGCTGCTGCCACACTGTAAGTCCACCTGGAACCTGAGGAGGGGAAGAAACACAGGCCGCGTGAGGACTCAGGAAGGAAGGCGGCCTCGCAGGCCTGGCAGCGCAGAAACCCAGGCCGAGTGACAGCTGACGGATCTTCTGTTCACTCACATGCTTTTGGTGGCGGTCCACCACAAGCACCCACATTGCCCAGTTTCCCCGCAGGTGCGTTCGCCCAGGTGCCCCAAGCTCTGCCGATGGGGTAGAAGTGTGCAAGGAAGACTCCTGGAAACAGTCTCTAAAGTCAGTTGGCATCTGCCTTCTGTCCACCCCCCACCCCTTCCCCCCAAATAGCACATGGTCCCAGGCAGCTACCCAAACACAACGTGAGGACCAGAGTCCTAGCTTCCAGGAACCACGAGAAAGAGGACCTCACCCTGGGATGGCAGGGTGAGAGCGTGAAGAGGCCCACTCCTCCAACAGCTTGCTGGTACGCGCCCTCAGCCCTCCGGACTGTCCCCTTTAGATGTCACGTTCACATCTTATTTAAACCACTGTTGTTCAGGCATCCACCACATAGAGCCGAGCCCAACTCTAGCTGATACAGCCTCATCCAGACTCTACCGAAAGCAAGCATTAGATAAAACCACCCAGAACAGGCCTTAAGAGATGGTATGGGAATGTTACACTGTAACTAGACTGTGTCCCTGTCATCTGACCACAGTTCCCTTCATTAACCGTATCTCTAATTCTTTATACTAAAATCAGACTTACAGCAACACAAAATCCACATAACCTGTATTTCAGTTTTTCATTCCAATTTCCTCAGCACCTTGGCCGGGGCTGCTGTGAAAGCAAAATCAGGCCTCCGAGTATCCAAATGGTCTCTCCCTCATGATTTTTTGTTGTCCCACAATCACAACGAGTTTATTCTTGTTCTCTTCTCGTCTAACAGAATGACTTTACCTGTCTGAGTCACTAGGAACATGCCCACGTAGTACAATCAAAGTTCCAGGCTCCAACTGCTCAGAAATGGTCCCAACATAGGGGATTATCTAGGAAAAAAAATAATTTTAACAAATGTTCATTTACAAAATCAAAAGACTACATTCTTAAAGGCTGCACATAAATATTACTCAGCCATAAAAAGGAACAAAACTGTGCCATGTGCAGAGACGTGGCTGGACCTAGAGACTGTCATACGGAGTGAAGCAAGTCAGAGAGAGAAAGACAAGTGTCGTATAGTATCGCTTACATGTGAAATCTAGAAAAACGATACAGATGAACTCATTTGCAAAGCAGAAACAGAGGCACAGACGTAGAGGACATATGGGTAACAGCGGGAAAGGGGGAGTGGGATGAATTGGGACGAGGGGATTGACACATATACACTACTATGTATAAAATAGATAACCAATGAGAACCTACTGTATAGCACAGGGAATTCTACTCAGTGCTCTGTGGTGACCTAAATGGGAAGGAAATCCAAAAAGGAGGGGATATATGTATATATATAACTGATTCACTTTGCTGTAGAGCAGAAACTAACACAACATTGTAAACCAACTATACTCCAATAAAAATTAATTTAAAAAAAAAAAAAAGGCTGCACACAAGTCTGCTCAGACCCTAGCATTTTCCAGGTCCTTCCTCCCCACCATTCAAACAGCTACACCGGAACAACATGGCTAGGAGACTCACAACACCTGCACACCACTCCGAGTTCTTTAGGAAAAGACACATATTATTCACAGTACTTTTTATGTGGCTGGGGGTTCTGTGACATGCCACACCCCACCCCTCCGTCCTTCTTAAAGTTCCACTGATCCCAACAGCAGGATCCAGAAGAGGCCAGGCCCTAGGCCAGTGCTGACAGAGCTAATGATAAGCACTTACTGCCTGCAGAGGGTGCTCCAAATGCAGCCACTCTGCTGCAACTGGGATTGCGTGCCTCGCCTTCCCTGCTGGGCTTCCAAGCTGCACCCCACAGGGTACTGCCAGGAACCAGAGAACTGCATGATCTGAAGGACGTGCTGTGGGTGCCTGTGGATCTCTCAAGACACAGCACCTCCATACCCCACCTGGTCCAGGGTGCAGGCCTGGGCCCCGACTGGTGGTCCCACACAGGATTCGGGTCTCCCCCTCCCCCCAATCAGCTGGAAGCCAGCCTCTTTGTCTGGGGCCTGACATGATCAGATCTTGTCACTACCCTCCCCCCGGTGATCCGCCATCCTCCCGGGCCACTGGCTATGTGGATGCATCTCCTGCACAACCACCTCCCTCTTCCCCCTGGGAGCCTCTGACCGCACCAAGCAGGCCAGACACCAGCATACCTTACACCAAGCTCACCCGGGTTACATCTATGCTAAAATTGATCCAGGGTAGCTCTGATTGTCAAGAAGAAAGAAATAAAACAAGAGAGGTCGTATAAAAGTAGTTGTAAATCAGTGGCTCATCGGCTGAAAATCTCAGCTCAAGCACAATCTCCCCTGTGGAGCCTTGCTCAGATTCCCTGGGCCAACTGAGTTAGCCGCCCTCGGAGGGTCAATCACGGCACTCTGTACTCTGTTCACTTGCAAACAAATGCCTACACTGCGAGCTGCATGGGGCAGGACTGGGTCATCACCTTTACACCCCCAGGACAGAGGTCAAGAGATGATCAATAATCACTTGGTGAATGAAGGAGCTCTCACCAGCCCGGAAACTGGGCTCTGCAGGCCTCACATGTGCAGAGGAGCAGCAGCTTTTCCTCTTTTTGTGAGTGTGTATGTGTATGCTGCCTTAAGCAATAAGACAAGAAACCACCAAATCCAGTTGTCATCTGGTGCCACGGCAACTGCTGAAAGCAGCACGGGGGAGATGAACAAGCTTATCAGACCAGAAAATGAAAAGCATAACAGATGCATAGAGCATGGCTACAGCTGCACCTCAGAGTGGATGGTTTTCATGTACAGAGAATGTGGAAGCAATTACTCCTCTTGGCCACAGCCCAAGAATGAATAGCAGCATGTTCCATTTTCTAAATCTCTTAATAAAATGAGAACAGTTTTTGTAACTTGAGATTTTTTTATATGTTCAACTTGTATTTATGCAGATTATTTAATAACACAAAAATGTCAGTGATATAATTATCAGTGAGAAAGTGGCCTACAAAACCCCATACAGTACGGTCTTAACCAAGTTAATAATAAACATTAAAAGGGAAAAAGAAAACACTGTAAAGAAATAAGCCAAAAGGGAGCTTCAAGATGGCAGAAGAGTAAGACGCAGAGATTACCTTCCTCCCCACAGATACATCAGAAATACATTTACATGTGGAACAACTCCTACAGAACACCTACTTAATGCTGGCAGAAGATCTCAGACCTCCCAAAAGGTAAGAAACTTCCCAGGTAGGGCAAAAGAAAAAAGAGACAAAAGAATAGGGACAGGACCTGCACCAGTGGGAAGGAGCTGTGAAGGAAGAAAGGTTTCCACACACTAGGAGCCCCTTCGCGGGCGGAGACTGCAGGCGGTGGAGGGGGGAAAGCATCGGTGCCACGGAGGAGAGCGCAGCAACAGATGCGGAGGGCAAAGCAGAGAGATTCACGCACAGAGGATCAGTGCTGACCAGCACTCACCAGTGCAAGAGGCTTGTCTGCTCACCTGCCGGGGCGGGGGGCGCTGGGAGCTGAGGCTCAGGCTTCGGAGATCAGATCCCAGGGAGAGGACTGGGGTTGGCTGCGTGAACACAGCCCGAAGGGGGCTAGTGCGCCACAGCTAGCTGGGAAGGAATCCAGGAAAAGGTCTGGAGATGCCGAAGAGGCAAGAGACTTTTTCTTCCCTCTTTGTTTCCTGGTGCGCCAGGAGAGGGGATTAAGAGCGCTGCTTAAAGGAGCTCCAGAGACGGGCGCGAGCCGCGGCTAAAAGCGTGGACCCCACAGACGGGCATGAGACGCTAAGGCCGCTGCTGCCGCCACCAAGAAGCCTGTGTGTGAGCACAGGTCACTCTCCACACCTCCCTTCCGGGGAGCCTGTGCAGCCCGTCACTGCCAGGGTCCTGGGATCCAGGGACAACTTCCCCAGGAGAACGCACAGCGCGCCTCAGGCTGGTGCAACATCATGCCGGCCTCTGCCGCCGCAGGCTCGCCCCGCATCTGTACCCCTCCCTCCTCCTGGCCTGAGTGAGCAAGAGTCCCCAAAGCAGCTGCTCCTTTAACCCCGTCCTGTGTGAGCGAAGAACAGACGCCCTCAGGCAACCTACACGCAGAGGCTGGTCCAAATCCAAATCTGAACCCCGGGAGCTGTGCGAACAAAGAAGAGAAAGGGAAATCTCTCCCAGCAGCCTCAGGAGCAGCGGATTAAATCTCCACAATCAACTTGATGTGCCCTGCATCTGTGGAATACCTGAATAGACAATGAATCATCACAAATTGAGGAGATGGACTTTGGAAGCAAAGATGTATTATTTTTTCCCCTTTTCCTCTTTTTGTGAGTGTGTATGTGTATGCTTCTGTGTGTGATTTTCTCTGTATAGCTTTTGCTTTCACCATTTGTGCTAGGATTCTATCCGTCCGTTTTTTTGTTGTTGTTTTTTACTTAAAATTTTTTTTCTTAATATTTTTTAGTTTAATTATTTTATTTTATCCTCTTTCTTTCTTTCTATTTTTTCTCCCTTTTATTCTGAGCTGTGTGGATGACAGGTGCTTGGTGTTCCAGCCAGGCATCAGGGCTGTGCCACTGAGGTGGGAGAGCCAACTTCAGGACCCTGGTCCACAAGAGACCTCCAAGCTGCACATAATATCAAACGGTGAAAATCTCCCAGAGATCTTCATCTCAACGCCAAAACCCAGCTTCACTCAACGACCAGCAAGCTACAGTGCTGGACACCCTATGCCAAACAACTAGCAAGACAGGAACACAACCCCACCCATTAGCAGAGAGGCTGCCTAAAATCATAATAAGGCCACAGACACCCAAAAACATACCACCAGACGTGGACCTGCCCACCAGAAAGACAAGATCCAGCCTCGTCCACCACAACACAGGCACTAGTCACCTCTACCAGGAAGCCTACACAACCCACTGAACCAACCTTAGCCACTGGGGGCAGACACCAAAAACAGCGGGAACTATAAGCCTGCAGCCTGCGAAAAGGAGACCCCAAACACAGTAAGATAAGCAAAATGAGAAGACAGAAAAACACACAGCAGATGAAGGAGCAAGATAAAAACCCACCAGACCTAACAAATGAAGAGGAAATAGGCAGTCTACCTGAAAAAGAATTCAGAGTAATGATAGTAAAGATGATCCACAATCTTGGAAATAGAATGGAGAAAACTCAAGAAACGTTTAACAAGGACCTACCAGAACTAAAGAGCAAGCAAACAATGATGGACAACACAATAAATGAAATTAAAAATTCTCTAGAAGGGATCAATAGCAGAATAACTGAGGCAGAAGAAAGGATAAGTGACCTGGAAGATAAAATAGTGGAAATAACTACTGCAGAGCAGAATAAAGAAAAAAGAATTAGAACTGAGGACAGTCTCAGAGACATCTGGGACAACCTTAAACACACCAACATTCGAGTTATAGGGGTCCCAGAAGAAGAAGAGAAAAAGAAAGGGACTGAGAAAATATTTGAAGAGATTATAGTTGAAAACTTCCCTAATATGGTAAAGGAAATAGTTAATCAAGTCCAGGAAGCACAGAGAGTCCCATACAGGATAAATCCAAGGAGAAACACGCCAAGACACATATTAATCAAACTGTCAAAAATTAAATACAAAGAAAACATATTAAAAGCAGCAAGGGAAAAACAACAAATAACACACAAGGGAATCCCCATAAGGTTAACAGCTGATCTTTCAGCAGAAACTCTGCAAGCCAGAAGGGAGTGGCAGGACATATTTAAAGTGATGAAGGAGAAAAACCTGCAACCAAGATTACTCTACCCAGCAAGGATCTCATTCACATTTGACAGAGAAATTAAAACCTTTACAGACAAGCAAAAGCTGAGAGAGTTCAGCACCACCAAACCAGCTTTACAACAAATGCTAAAGGAACTTCTCTA